CCGGGGGTGGGGCGGGGACTGGGAGGCTCGGGCCGGGCCGGCTCGCTCGTGCGGGGCTCGTGCTGCGCCGCCGCCGCGGCCGCCGCGGTGACAGCTCCGGGGATGCTCGCTCGGCCCCGCGCACAACAATACACTCTGACGTCACGGGGAATGGCGCCGCGGCCGCACACTCGCCCTCGCGCTCACACTCGCCCTCCGCGCTCACACTCGCCCTCCGCGCGCGCACCCCCGCGCACACTCGCCGCGCGCCCCCTCCTCCAGCCACGCCCTGAAACCCTCGCGAGACCCCTCGGCTTCCAAGCCAACCCCGGGTTCCCCTGGCGCTGCCCCTTCTGGGCCGGCGGATCCGCTTCTGTCCCACCGTCCCGCTAGGGCCAAACCCCGCGGACGAGGTGGCCTTTGGAACTTGTGTAGGGAGTCAGCTCCGCAACTCGGAGCCTCTGCCCGGCGGGCGCGGGCGCGCGCGTACACACACACACACACACACACACACACACACACACACGCACTGCTCCCCTCTACTGGACTCCTTTAACCCTGTTTCTGCTCCACTGGGCGAATTCCCAGAACCTTGTGGAACAGAACCAGCCCCTTCGGATGCAGAGCTAATACTGAGTGTGCAACTTGGTTTAACGTTGAGCCAGCCAGCCGCCTAGGTGCTCTTGAACAATGCAACACCGAAGAGCCCGGCCGTGGATCAGTGCAATGCTATTGCTTTGTACTAATTATATTTCCGTAACGTGTAGTCTTTATTCACAGCGTAAAACATGATACATATGTAAACACCTGGAAAGCTAACGTTTGCGTTTTTAAAAAAATTATTCATAATGTGCAGACTTGGGATGCATGAGGGGTAGGATTATATTAGTGAACTACAAAAAAAAGTGTTAAAAAGTTTATAGTAACCTTTCTAACTTCTTACACCGCTGAATTATTTAGGTCCATAAAGTACTGTAATTGTTAAAGAAAGGAATGATACTTTGACCCACACGTTAATGATGTGTGTATCTGTCTTGAATATCAAAACAAATCACTTGTAGCAGACTATTTATCTAAAGTAACAATAATAATGGTATGTATATAATACTTTGTGTTTTTTTATTTACATTATCTGATTCTGGACAATAAATATACTTTCCCTTCTGCGCAAAAGAGGAACCTCAAAAAATCAGTCTGTATCCAAGTTCCCTTGCTAAATCACTTTTAAGAATTGAACCCAGATCTTTTCACCCTAACCCCTGCTGTTTACACTCTCATTGTACTATTCTTAAAAATACATACTCATTCTAAGAAATGAACACTTAAATCTAATGAAAAGACACATGTCTAAGAATGAGACCGATTATGGTCATGTAATTCCTTTGAGAACACTGTCAAATGACTGAAGTAATAAAAATATTTGATTATAAAAATTAAGCAGATAATTTATAATCATAAAAGCTGCATATGCTAATTCTTTAAGAACGTATGTTTTATTAATTAACTAGAATAAGAAAATGTTATGCATCAGTATAAGGAAGTATCCAAAGATTATGCTCATTTTTCTTCTTTTTTAAAACATGGATTAAGAGAACATGCTGAAGTATCCCTAGGGGACAATTTTACCCGTGCAATTTACATAACTCTATCCAGGTGTATTATCTTTTTGCTTTACATTTCAAATATTTTAAATTTGAGTCATGTTCACATCTGCTTTTATTCTACAGAATGCTCTTTATGACTAAAGTAATTGATATATTTTTAAAGTACTTTGATTCTAATGTTTTTTCTTCTATTCAGACGTACCTATATTAAGCAATCAGATCATAACATATAATTTGTTATTTTTCTATGAAACAGTGCTTAATAATTTTTGGAGCCAGTTAAAGGAAAACATCCATAATCAGTTATTTCACAGAAAGGGCAATTCTGGTTATTAGAGAAGAGAAACTCTATAGTCCCCTTGAAGCAGATGTAAATTGATGTCTATTGTTTATGCACCCATTCTGTTGGGAGCTGAGATAAATAACCAATATTATGAACTGACTCTTGGATTCTACTTCCACTTTGGAGTACATGAATATAAATAGTCTATCAGAAGTAGGTCTAGTTTCAAATATTGGTGAATGTTCCATGTCAAAATAACGTATTTTTGAAATAGGTCAGAATAGAGACAAGCCACAATTCCAGAGAGGCCATTACTATATTCCTTCCTTCTACACTTACCTAACTACATTGAACCAATTGCTTTTCCTTAAGATTCACTTGTTCTCTCAATATATGTTTGTGGCAAGGGAGAGAATACATATGTGTCACTTATAGATCTTTTAGAGTCTGCTAAATTATATGAATAACTTTTTTAACAGACTGGTAAACTTCACAAATATATATAAGTAAAATTATGTGAAAATTAATCAGATGAATAATTCTCTGCTGGGGAAATTTAAAATGCTTTTAATAGATACAGGTCCTTTGGAATAGAATCTGAAGATTTCATAGGGTTTGAACATTCACATTTGTAAGAAGGGTGAAAAGCTTTTCCAAACACAAATGCAGTAAAGGTCAGCTAGTACAATTAGAAGCTAGGAAAATATTTAAACAGATAGATGACACCTATCAAGTACTCTTAACATTCAGTAAAGTTCATATCAGATCATGTGTATTTCCACAACCCCTCCTTTAAATGAGACCAGTGATAATTCAAAGCAGAGGTTCCAGTTAGAACTGCCTATAAATTCTTCCTTTTTCTAGTCCCCATCCTAATATTACAGCAATTGTCAGTGCTCCTGAGTTCATTTGACATGTAACAGCACTTTTTCTGCATTTCCATGCTTTCTTCATTTCCTTTCCGGCTGTTAGTTCTGAACCCAACAATTCAAATTCCTTTGGTGCATTTCTCTTCAACAATTCTAGTAGATTTTTTTTGTCCTGTAATGTTATTATTTTTAAATATTGCAACATGTTTAACCATTGAGGAACACTTTATAGATACAGAACCCAAGCAACAATAAATGCCAATTTACATAAGACAAAAAGAGGTGATAGTGTACTGAGCAATTGTCAAAGTTTATATAAGACTCTAATACTAAGAGAAGAGACTCTAGAATTCAGTAACAGAAGTAATTGTGCCATGTCTGGGTCCCTCAGGAGATACAAGGTTTCAGCATGAAACCTAATCAAAAAGTTCACCAGAAATGGAAAAGTTTAGGTGCTGCAGACAGGAAAAAGAGGCAGGAATTGCTTTGGCATTCAAACCCCTTGTGTACACAGCTACTATGCCCCTAGGTGCCCATGACATCAGGAAATCTAGAATGAATGCAAATCCCTTCTATTCTTCCCACATACATCCCCACCCAGCAGATGGTGCTGTGAGGAAGGAAAGATGAGAAGATGCCAGGGGTTTTAGGGGAAGATGAAAGAGGCTTTAGTGGTCTTCATCATGCAGCATGGATTTTATTTTGCAAATATATTTATTATGCACAAGCTCAGGATCTCTGAGTTCTACAAATAATAAGTTTTCTTCTAAAAATATTTTTTTAATAATCGGTAAAGATCTAACAGTCTGGAAAATTGATGAAATTGGTCAACTTGTCTCCTTTGTCCACTACTGAATTCATTGAATTTCCAGCACCAAGCTAATTATCTGTTATAATCTAGACAACAAACATTTACTTAATAAAAATAATTAGAGATTTAGTAAATTGATCTCTTTTATTGTAAATACAGTAAAAGTCCAGTGAATCAAGATATATTTTCATTTTTTTCTTCTTAATAATTTTTTTCTTTCCCATATTTCAATGAGCAGTGCAGGCATAACACAAACTAAAGTGAAATAAAACCAAGTATCAGTATTATTAATTGTGTATAGTCAGATATATTAGTGATGCACTAATGAATCTTGACTTGTCCATTTTATTCTAGCCCTAAACATTCTGTGTAATATACTTTGAAGTTTTTCAAAATAGTCATTTAGGTTAGTTTATATTGTGACAATATATTGTCTGAGGCTAATTTTATCTTAACTTGGAAAAATTCTTCCACTAGGAAATGAGTGTGTTAACTGTGGTCCTTCTATTCTTACTTAAATCTATAATAGCATACTATTTTAAGATTCTGTGTACTCTATGGATATACATATATCTAAAATGTTAAAAACTTAGGAATTTTATTTTTCTTCAAAACTTTCCTGCAGCTGAATTTATTTATATTGCCAATTTATATCGTTTTGTACTTAAAACTAATTATAGTTTGAAATGTTTAATTCTCTGATCAATGTTTAATATTATTACATATCATTGCACCTATTAAATTAAATTTTTGTGGTATAGAATCTTAGCAGCTAAAATGTTTTTAAAACCAAGAGAAATAGAATAAATTAAGTGAAATATTTTCATAATTTTCTCCTTGTTCATTTTCTGAAATTTGCCCTTTTTTTGTTTTATTTGTCTACTTCTTTATTACGATAACAAACAGGACTGCTGAGTACAGACCTTCATTCAGGAATTTACCTTTCACCCCTTTAAATTGTTAATTAGGCAGAGAGAGCACAGTGTGATTTATGGCCTAGGGTTTAACAGGACTCACACTTAATCCATTACACAAAGAGGAATACACATATTCCCTAACAGCACAACTCATTAGTTTATATAAAACGGAAAAAAACCCACTTAGGAAATGTAAATAAAGCTTTGCTTGATACTATCTTCTTATGAATATGTAATGTGATCAGAATTTCAACATTGCAGTCTAACAGCTTTTGCTTATTTTCAAAACTACGAATTAGATTTCTCTAGGTAAATGCTAATTCAATCCTACATTTAGTGGATAAGAAGGAAAATTACATGCTGCTAAATTCATCTTTGTGTGAAAAGAATGTTCTTAGTTCATGAAGAAGACTAGAATTCTGATT